AATACCCACTTGCACGGAGGTTCTTAAGAGCGTTATGAGGGATGCACCTCAATCGACGGCATCAATGCATCACCACATCTCATATATGTTGACTAACACATACTAATGTGCCAGTTTCTGAAGCGCGTGTGGCCCTACCCTCTCTTCGAAAAGAAGAGTGTAGAAGAGACTGTCATGGGCAAGTGCAATGTCCCGTGGTTTAACATGCTCGATAACATGCTCGATCTAAAGTAATGTAAATTGCCATGTCCATGATGAAGTCAATGAGAGCAGTAAAGGAGCTAGTTAAGCAGATGCAGGAACAACTTGGAGCAAAAGCGAACACGATAAAAGTGTCCGCGCGGAGGTCGACTCAATACTGTAAAGCATGTCACTGTAGCATCCGACGCGTACAGATCGACACGAGGATACGATGGTCCGGTCCTTTCACACCAGGAGAAGCCACGTTCCGCCCAGCAGCCCGGTCACCGTACCCACGCCCATCCATCCGCGCTGCGTGGACCATCTTGGGCTCGCACCGCTACTGGATGAGAGTTCCGAACCCCCTGATACGGTAGCTGAAGAGGAAGCGCCAATTAGGCTAAGCCATTGGCTGTAGTCGAGGATAGTGCCTGTGTGGGAAGGCGCGGCGGGAATGGTAGTCGGTGCGAAGGTGGGGGTGAAGGTCGCGAGGATGACTTCGGTTGCGCCTGGTGCAGTGGGAAGGATGTCAGCATACATAGGGCATTGATATAGTTATTGATGATGAGGCACACCTGCTGCGTCCGTGGTGGTATAATAATAGGTGGTGAGACCGGCTTCGGTTGATGTTGGTGCCCCAACGACCACTGCGGGTGTAGTCGTCGTCATCGTCGGGATTGCAACAGGCGTCGTCGTCGTCAGCGGTGTGGTAGTCGTCGTCGGCGCGGTAGTCCTCGCCGTTGTTGTAAGAGCCGTAGCGAGCTCCGTGTCTGTGTCTGTGGCCGTATCCGTTAACGCGCCCGCGAGAATAGTCGACCTAGATGCATAATTTCCGTATCAGCGATCGCCCCACCATCGAGTGCGCTATATGCACGCACTCTATGGATGTCGTGACTAGGCCTAATGGATCGAGCGTGATCAATTCGACGACGGTGTAGCCGTACCTATGCGTGCAGTGTCAGTCAGTCCCGGAAGCGCTGCGCAGTCGGTTTCAAAAAGCAGGCGCCGCTCACTCGTCGGTAGTGGTGATCAACTGCGCATATATGGGGAGCACACAGGCGGCCGCAGCGGCAAGAGACAGCAGGGAAGGCCGCATGTCGGATGAGGCGACGAGACGGGTTACAGCCCAGTCGAGTGGCGACATCTCTGTGCGAAGGCGTCATGACGTCGAGGACAGTCCCCGCGCTGTGATCGGGTGCGACGTTGGGGACATTCGCGCGCCTAACGCGTCCACTGTCCAACTCGCGCTCCACTCTGCCATCCACTCACCGCTTCTTGTTCATCGATGCCCTCCGCCAAGTCGCTCTCTGCTTTCCATTCCATCCGCTCGTCGCTTCCTGCCCATCGACGCCTATGTTCTCAGAGACGAAGAACACGCACCTACATGCCACGACTCGGCGCTCAATATGGTCTCTTCGCGCACTCTCTCCAGCTGGGTGCCTCCACGACAAAGGTACGTGCAACGATCATATGGATGACTGCAGCGAGCCAGCCAGGGGTCCATAGTGGAGAGTCTTCAAGTGTTCGCGATCGGCGGCGGGTGAGGACATGGATTGACATGCAGGTGAGTGCGCCTCCCTTCGGTGACGGTGAGACTCCGCGTCGTGTGGAGGGAAAGAGCGAGGGGTGCATTGAGCAAGACAGCAGAGGCACTGCGATGCGAGTCGTGAACGCTCCTCGCGCGCATCGTGCTCGCAGTCGCGCAGACGGATGTCGACGGACAGACCGTGTACAGAGCGCGTGAATATATTTCTTTTCACAGGAAGCTTGGACGACCGCAGATAATGTGAGA